GAGAAGTTAATGTAGATGAAGCTTGCAAGCTGAGTTGTATATATTGCTACTATGTGACATTTATGTCGAATCTACGTGTCAATACTTCTATAAAAATACGTTTCGTTAACGGTAGAAGACATTGATTTAAGTACGTTACAAGAACAAAAACGTAAATGTAAGTACTAGAGAAACAACTTCATCACGTATAATTGATAAGAAGGTGAATAAGATAATAGGGGTGAACCAACTTTTTATTAAAGTACTCGCGTTCTAAATGTAGCATTTCGATGCTGGTGGATGTACTTAAATGTGTCGGTTCATTTTCTTGACTAAAAATCAGATTAATCGGTATCTTGATAGGGTTATGTCTTTAATATGATTTCTAGCTATACCGCACACAAAACGCTGAAACAGGAAAACATGTCTGTAACATTGGATAGGTTAGAGCGTATTGTTATCACTGATGTCACTCACACATAAACTTGACTCAATTGATTTAAACTATAGTAGCTTTTACAATGGTTGTTTTAGCTTCCTTCCGTATAATGATATTGCGTTGTCCGTTCATCCGTCAATCCTGCCGTCCGTCGAAACCTTTATTTGTCCAGAGATCCCCTCCCCTCGATCGGCCGTGACATGAAGCTGTGTTTTTCCGAACGACAATTTGTTATGATCATATCTGAAAGAGTCACTGTATTGTCCAGAGATCTCTTATCTCAGTTTTAAACCTGTTCCTTTCAAACTTAATAGGACCAATCACTGTGACAGGGAGTTAGTGTTTTCCAGAACATCAGTTTGATTCGACTGTATTTCGGAGAGTTACTGCCCTTAATGTTTTCTTAGTATTGCTCTTGCCCGAAGATCGTCTCTCTCAGGTTTCAATCGATTTCTTTCAAACTGCGAAGGCTTAATCACCACGACATACTATTGCGTTTTCCTGAACAGCAATTTGATTCGCTTTTGTTTGGAAGTATAAATGCCCTTTGTTTTTTTTCATTATATTAATCTTGTCCGGATATCACCTTTCTCAGATTTTAATTAATTTCTTTCAAACTTCATTAGTTTCATCATCATGACATGAAGTTCTCTCTTGACATTTTGATTTATTATTATCCTTTCCATATTCAATTCTTTTCGATAAAGCTAATTCATAATATTCCTTTTGTACTCTTTTATTTCACTTACCACGAATTTAGGTATTTGGTGAGCAAGAAAGAAAATTGAGGAAAAAAATTCCCACGCGGTTTTTGTTTTACCTACAACTTTTTCTTCAATCGAATATTTTTTTATATCGTATTTAAGTCTACGATGCAGGCAGATGATTTCATAATAACAATGTAAGTTCAAGTAAAATATATGTTCAATGTATGTATTTGCTTTGAAAAAGACATTTTGAAAGTCAACATCATATACCTGGTGGCCAAGATATATATACATTATGTAAGTCTGGCGAGTTCCTGTGGCCGAAAATGTGTCGATTGACATTAGTTTTGAAGAATATTATGTTAGATTTTATCAAACAAAGAAAAATAAAATCTTGAAATCATTTGATGGTAATATAATATTGTAATACTACAAAACTACTTTTTATATCGTATATGAACCATGCAGGAAGTATAACTACATTTCCTTTTTATCCACTATTAAAGTGTAATTGGGTAGAGTATATCATCATCTGTCACTGTGTAAGCTATCAATAGTACTGGTGTACTCTCCGTGCAGTAAATCTTGTTCTGTTGCAAGCATTGTGTGATTTTGAAGTGATGGGATTTCCAACTAGAAGTCGTTAAATTCCACTGTGTGTTAACAAATGTCATCGCGGTAGGATCCACTTAAGATTCACCGTTCGTTATTTAGATTTGAGTCGACGAGAGATTCATCATGTCTAATTGCTTTCAAAGATAACGTAATTACAGGGTTTTATAAATGCCTTTGACGAGAACCATTTGTAACGATGCAATGCGAAGGAAATGCGTATTTTCTCATTGATGTTAATGCCTGCTGTATGTTAGGAGTTGAAGGCATTTTCCTATCAAATTTATGGAGTGCGAATGGAAGCTACACACACCTGTAGGAGGTTAGAGAGATACACTCCGACACATGCGAATCAGTGGCCAAGAAAAGCACCCATATGATAGAGCTGCGAATGTATCGTGTCATGCTGTTTCGGAATGAAGATTAGAAGGTGAAGAGGTTATCGATGTCATAGGGCTGTCTAACGCGTGCTCTACGTATAGCCTTCCTCACGAATATATAGAAAACGCTGTAGAATCAGCTGTTTGGTAAATAGCTGTCTATAAATAAAATAATGATTACTGCAATTAGCAGGTTTGATACCATCTGTGAGCTGCCTAGAATTCGTGTCGAGATAGGAAAAGATAGCTCAACATGTCGAATTGAAAATTGATTATTATTTGTGTTATCGGGAACAGACACCAAGTAATTGATGCCTATGTGCGTGTTTCAAGCTATGGTATGCTAAATATCCGGAATAATCGAACAAATTAAAATAACGAAGCTACATAGCTGCTTTTTGTTTCCTGCTTTATTGCACATACATCATCTAATGAGTTGGGAGAGGGACGGATATGCTTTGTCCGTCTTATTTTACCGTGTAAAGCCCTGCATCATCTCATATCGATGTCTTCAATCCAATCACCTCATTTATCATTAGAATTTTGATTAAAGTTGATACAAAGGCCAAATATTAGAATAGTCTTACATTAAGATCAAGGTCACCTTTACTACTTTCTGAGAACATACCAGTTACGAACAGGGCATACTTGCCAAGTTTTCTTTTATTATTAGTAGTAGTATTTAAATTGAAGAAACCAGTTGTAGACTAGATTGTTATCAGTAGTATTGGAAGGACATATAGAACACAATGTACTACACTAGTATACTAACAAAACATTACCGTTAATCGATTAGATAAACCTTTTATGAAGGCTGATTAGGCGATTTAGGGTATTTGAACGATATGCTTATTAATAAACATCCGTTTAATTGAATCATAACATGTATGGAAGAAATTGTAAGTACGCTGAAAACAAATCGGAGCAAATCAGGAAATCACAAACAAGACTTAATGTACAATAGAAGCGTGTTTCAACTCCAATTTAAGCAAGTGTAATTTAACTGGACCAACGTTTTCATGAAAAAAAAAACAAACAAAGGGAAACAAGAAAACAAAACGGTATATTTTGTTTGTCTCCAATGAACAATCATCAATATACTTTTTTAATACATAATTGATATGATTTTACTATCACTATAAGCTATTAATTTGTTTCACCAATGCTGTAAGATAAATACATATATGTATATTAATGTTATGGATATTTTTATGTTTTTTTATCGACTAAACATTGGGAATCCTAATTTTTCTGAATTAGGTATATCCATGCTTTATAGGTCAGGGCATGTGGTGAGAACACACGGAAGTGGTGTAAATGAAATGATTTGATTATTACTGGCCTTGGTATCGGGGTTATGCTAACCTCCTGGCAGATGTATGGTTTTGTAGCTTTCTGAATGTAGGACAGGCATACTCGCTTCATGTACGTTAAAACAACATTCCATCAGCTGCTATCAGCGAAAACTTGATGTCGTTATCCCGGTGTTTAATCTACAAATATATTGTCAATCTATTAAAACTAAAATACTGTTCTTTGATTGAATAAACTAATTGCATAAACGAATAAAAGAAATTCATGGATCGATAAGAGAGTGCACCTCTGTTAGTCCCGTACCCATGAGATCTGAGGTTACTAATATTTTCTTTTCCGTCCGTCCCTGCGTCTGTACAAGTTTTGTCAGCGCTCCAGCGACTCCATTCCTTAAGGAATTCTCATCAAACTTCACACACTTATAATGCATCAAAATATCAGGGTCGTTGGGTCAAGGTCAATGTCATTGTAACTTTTTCGGAGATAATCAGTGTCAGCGCTCTAGCTTGCGGGGGTCGGGAGGGGAAGTGTATTGATTCAGCAATACTCATTATGCTTCTTTATATATAAAAATATATATACAGCTGTGGGATCGCACTACGTAACACGATGTGTGCACGATTCTGTTGTGGTTGAATTTTGAAATGACTTGTAGATAAGTGTGGGATAGGGTTTATTCTTTTTTTTTTAAATACATAATAGTAAAACCAAGATTTTTTTTCTAATGAAGCCATTAATATAATGTACATGTTAGACACATATAGATCTATTAAAACGGACTAATAATATTTATATACACTCAAAATTTGAAGTCTTTTGTTTACAAAGTGCCGCACCTGACTTAAGGAGAAAATGATATTTTCATTACTTCTGTATTGTTTTCGTTTTTCTTTCATCTTATAACCAAAAATATATACTCAGATAAGTGTTGTGTTTGTTAGACGGGATACTTAGCCGGTACGGATCCGGGACGAATATACCTATATAAAGGTGCATGTGTAATTTTAGTTGCCCGAACCACACCACATGCTACAGTACAGTGTGTGAAATTATTAGATAAGACTAATTCATGCAGGTTCCAGTCGAAAAGAGACTTTCGTAATCACCAATCAACCTTAATATGCCCATGATCGCTATTTCGCCATAACTACGTGAGTTTTCCGTTTATTTGCAATCTGTAATATAAGCCAACCATTTTTACCAAACTGCACAAAATATACTACCGCACTATTGTGCTTGATACTGTATAGTGAATGTGTGTGCACGATGTATGCACGATGCGTGCGTGGCGCGTTACCACAACTAAATTTAGATTCACATGTCGGATATGAATAATAGATGTGAATCATAGCACGAAATAAGATGTATCCTCTTCTTAGGATTTTGATGAAACTGCCAAAAAAATACAACAAAAGCATCCCTTTCATAGCGCTTTACACATAATCGACAAGCATTTCTTTGTGAATATTGTCACCGATCTAACGTATACAAAAAACTATGTTGTTCTTATTTTCAAACCAATATTCTAATTTTTCGTATTCTCATTCCATCTATGTCTTTTTATTCCAGCCACATACTGAGGGATACATTGCTATTGTCTTACCAAAGCTAAAAGAATACGATTATGTGATGAAGAGATTGTCTACGGAGGAGGCCTTCAAGCAAGCACGTCCAGATATAACGTAGCAGATATTCGCTAAGTAGACTGTTTTAACGTTGATATTCATACTTGTTGTACTGTTTGCGATTCAGTTAATAACACAATATCACTCTGATCAATTTTGTTTTGTTTATGTTCAACTCATGTTGTTACAGTTGTTTCTAATACTAAGAGTTTGTCTTATTTTTTTCGACGGTTCATCTTCTAGTCATGAAAGACTAAGGGGATTTTGACCATATTTTGTTAGAAGCATCTTTAGGGAAAAGGGAACAGTTTTGTGTATAAATGGTGTGTCCCGCCCACTCCCCAGGGCCAGAGGGTTGGGTCCAGAAGGGGAAATTTGGCAAGTCCTTTAAAATCCTATTCCTCCTGTAGGAATGAATTTCGCCCAAATTTAGTAAGAAGAGTCTTTGGGTGAAGATTCAATTTTATATAAACGGAGGATCTCGGCCCCTTAGGCGTGAGGGGCGGGGCCAATGTTGGAAAGGAGCAAAATCTATGAAATCGTACTCCTCTTGTAGGAATGGTTTGATTTTGCCCAAACTTGGTCAGAAGCATCTTTGCGTCAAGAAAAATCATTTTGTATAGATGGTGGATCGCAGCCCCCTGGCGCGGGAGAGACGGGGCCCTAAAGAGGAAACAGAGCAAATGCTTTAAAATCCTACTTCTCCTGAAGGAAAGATTGGATGTTGTCCCAATTTACTTTGAATCATGTTTAGGTGAAGAGGAATCAATTTGTACAATCCATGGGTCTCGATTACCTGGGGCTGGAGGGGCGAGGCCCAAGAGAAGAAATATTCCAAGGTCTTAATTTCCTAATCCTCATGTAGGATTAATTGAATTTTGCCCAAGTTTGGTGTAAATTATGTTTAGGTGAAGTGGGAATTAATTTTGTATAAATGGTGAATCTCTGCCCCCTATGGCAGGAGGGGAGGGGCTCAGTTGGGGAAATATGTTTGAATCAGTTTAGATCCCCATCCCATAACCATGCACGGCAATGCTTGGCATAAAGATATACACGCAATCGTGATGTAAGAATTGGCACTAGGGTCTGGCCCCATCCCCATATGACTTGGGGTTCTTCTTATATCTTTAAAACTGATGAGATATCCACTTTTAACCATATGTAGCAATGACAGGCTTTAAGAGATAAACACAATCATGATGTAAGAATTGGCCCTGGGGTCTGACCCCACTATAAAACGCTACATATCGCCAATATAATTACACTCATAAATAAAATCTTATCAAGATTATTACTCCACGTGTTCGCAAATCACTTTTAGGCGAACTTATCATCAGTTCTTTTCCTCGCGAGTCTATCATCAGCTGTTCTATTAATCACAAACCTAACATCGGCTCTCCTTCAGGTCATGAGCCTAAAGTTGCTTCGTTTTGATGATAAACGTGTCATAAGCTCCCCTTTTGGTCAAGAGCATATCACCATTGTCCTTATGATCATACGCCTGTCATCAATTCTCCTTTTGGTCATGAGCTTATCGTCGCCGGACCATTTGATCACAAGACCATCATCTGTTGTCCATTTAATGATAAAAAAAACAATACCTAGCATCATTACAAGTTTATCAACAGCTGTCAATTTGATCAAAACCCATCGTCATCTGTCCTTTCGATCACAAGCCAATAATTAACAGTCCTTTCAATCACAAGCCTATTATCAACAGTCATTTTAATCACAAGCCTCTAATCAGCTGTCATTTTGATCAAAAGCCTTTAATCAGCTTTCTGTTTGATCACACGCCTGTTTTCAACTATTTTCAGCTATACATGGCACGGTATACGAGACATTCCTTTCCGTTTGATGTCTTTTCTGTTTCCGTTAATTTTTTTAATGAATACAAGACAATTATAACTATTTATTATACGATATTGTTATTTGCGATAGCCAGTAAGTGACACGAGCTCGTCTCTAGTGTTACGATAAATAAGTTATAACAAGCAATTTACAGTGTCTTTTAAGTCGTTGTTATTCTAAGGTTTTGAGGGAGTTATGCCCCTTTCTAATTTCCTTTGACATTGTCCAAAGTGCTTCTGTTCAACTTTGTTGATATGCTGACTTTTCAATAAATATATTTTCCATTGGTATGGTAGCACACTGTTGTAAAGTTTCTGTAATAGTAGATTTTTGTTAAATAATAGTAATGTTTCCAGTATGTGTGGAAGGTCAATTAGAGAAGTGCTAGTGTAGCAGATTTTACGTTCAGTTTGACATGGTCTCTTGGCAGTTTAAACTATAAAATGTTGTTTGCTGAAAGTAAACAAGTGCGAGGAAGTGTTAACAACATCAGAGTGTATATAAATTTTACTCTGATTTCAAACCCAATACAAGCGTATTGAGAGCATATCTCAAACTAACCCATAGTAGCTAGACTACTTCAGTTTGCCCTACTTGTTCCACACTTCGGGTGTCAGATTCTTAACATGTGTTTGCTTTCATGTCGTAATGTGAAGCACCATGTGAATTAATCCGTTTTACTTGTGATTCAATCGCTGACACTGGAAAATCTGCTGTGTAGTCGTTGTTGCTCTAGTAAATAATTAAATGTCGATTCCGTTTGAAGAAGCTCCCGCTAAGAATTATTCTAAGCAGGCCTTCTAATTGTTAAGTGCTAATCGCAATGATATTGCCCCCTGTATCTTTATATGTTTTGATTGGCATGTGCCAGTAACGATCAGCTGTTTGTGGTCCACTGAAATGGAAATTACTGGCAGCGTGGTGAATCTAAATGTGTTGGTATTGAGATACACAAAATATGTATACTTTAGTGTTATATATGTTATTTGTGGCAAGGAGTATAGCGTGTGAATTTCGTCCCGCTATGACGTATATCTGATGATTGACAATGTTAAATATGTTACAATATCACTATGATTTAAGATCAATGCTGACGTCACATATGATAAGCCGCCGATGCATTATTCGTGATACGGCCTTCAGGGGACAAGGGCCTGATGTCATAGCTATTGTGTAAGAGTATGTAAGATATGCGTTCTGTAATATCTGATAGAAAACATATTTGTTTCGTTAATGTTTTAATCAACAAGTTTATAAGGTATGCTAGGAAATGTATTTTGAACACATTTTCATATCTGACCTAAATATGAAAGTATCTTAGCATCAAATTCAGACTGAGTTCTAAATAAAGTAGTTGGTGTTATCAATAACATTTATTTTCTTTTGGTTATTAGTATATTTGATTACATATATTTTTGTTTCCCTTCAGTAAAAGTTGATTTAGAATAGGAAAAGATTTGACAAGAAAGTTTCAAAAGGAAACGAAAAAAAGAGAAGTCTTATGTCAGAACTCTCGCATATACAAATTAAAATGACCAAAAGGATATATTAACGTCCTATTACTATACAAACTGACGGAGACTCATGAAAGAGTATACAAGAAGGATAAAACGAGATGTTCCGTTAGAGCAAGCGTCTTTTTCTTAATACCGTGTATTTAGGATGATCTCAATTTAGATGTAACTTGTACGAACTTAATAGCTTAACATCTGAACAAAAGCTTCATATTAAAAAAGTATTCCTTTCATTAAACAAACGTAAAATGTGATTGGCCTGTCAGTGGTCCTGAAAAACATTCGAGAGATTGTACAAAAGACACAAATGAGTATTATCTTTCAATATAAATCTAAAATTGCATACAGTACTTCAAACAATGAATTAAACTGCAAATATTAGTGTTGCGTAGAGCCTGAACTGTTACTAGACGATATAAAGGAAATCAAAGCTGATCGAAATCATTTTCATTAATTTAGATGGAAATGTTTATGACCATGATTAAAAAAATTCATGATTTCCAATATAGGATGGGTTCAAAAGAGTATCAAATGCCTGTGTATGTTCTTTGTCATGGGGATTTTAAAATTAATTAAAACATGGCATGAGAGGTTACGCTAAACCTACTTTACCTTGATGAAATTTCTATACTTATTCTTAGCTTCAAAATTGTACCTTTTAATGCTATATATTGCATTCAATTTTTTTCAATGCTATATCTGCTTCTAAATTTACTTAAGTGTCCTTTTGTGAAAAAATTCGTAATAATGTCATTGTTTATCAGGATGTGCTTAATGTTTTGATACTTCAAACCAATCCTTTCCAATACAGTGAAGATTTTTTTCCGGAGGATTTTATGTTTTACTATTTCTTAGATGGATTCAATCCACGAAAAATGAATGCCTCGAAAATTGAGCTTATAAAATTAGTCTATTCCTTGGCTTCCTCAAAACATGTATGCCTTGTGTATTTTTTTTTTTTATGAATCCCCCAAAAAATGATCCATTGAATAACTAAACTTTACAGTAGCCAAATGCAAATGTAGCTAACTGTCGCCTTTGATTTGTCATACCATACTCAAAGGGTGCGTACTACATATCATACGTGGTTCATAAATTTCGAAAAACTAAAGCTTCATCTCTTTGATAATTGTTATCTTTTTTAGGTACACTTATTTCTTGGGATCTTTTTTTCGTTTTCAGGTTATTGGCAAGATCTCTTTAGGTCATTTGTATTTGGAGGTTATCGTGACAATTAAAATTGAGCCCTGTCATTTTAGGACAATAGGGATTATTTCGTTTATAACAATACCGGTTATGTTGAAGCAGTGTTGAAACATACGCCATGACAGCTGCTGCATATAACACTGTTATTTTAATTCTACATATAAAAAGTATTCTTTTATCTTATATATAAAGTAGCCAGGGATTCGATAGTAAATCTGTCGTTATATCATGTTCAAGTTAGTCATATTATAGTTGTAACGTCATATTTTGCTCTTAGTAGACTATTCATATCATGTTTCATTAAATACAATTCGATGTCTAAGTCTGAACATTTAAAAATTCAACATATTATTTAGATAAAAGATTAAAAACCCAAACACAATGAAAAAAAACTAATGGCCCAAACTTTCGCCATGTTGGTCCTACTTTTAGCATTCGCTGTGATGGTCTAATATAAACGCATGACGCATAACCTATTCTGACTATTCTAGTCACAAATATACGCCATAGATAAAGACCATGACTTCAAACTAATTTTTTTTTATACATTGAATAATTATATGAAATCATTCGATAATCTCTAGACGAAGTTGAATGCAGTGCTGAATTGCGTGTGTTAGTTTACTTGATATCACAGCATTGCAACACATATCACATTATTCCAACACATATCACAGCATTGCAACACATATCAATATCATGTATATAAAAATTATTGGTTTTCTACCCCAGTGAAAGGCCTATGTGGTCCTATTTACAAAGCAGATCAAACTTTTACGCTAATTCTTCTGTAGTGATTAGCGTGACTCCGAGTAATATAAACAACAAAGTCGAGATTGAAATTTTCACATTTAATGAGTTTGTCTATCACAGATCTCCGATGTCAATACATCACAGAAGGCACTCCGCATTCTCAACAATAAAACATTTCTCGTAATTGAACATAGAACATTTGGTCTCTAATTATTATGGCGTCTGACACAAAACGTTTAACGCTGTGATTGAATGCTAATGTATTATTATAATCTACTTGTTTGTCAATCACATATAGCTATGATATTTTGGAATGCAAAAGAAGCATGAATCATGTCAAGAAATATTATCTACATATGTGGTGCTACTACCCTAATGCTTCGCTGGATTGCTAACAAAATTACATCATTTTAAAATTGAGTCAGATATTTTAGCACTCCGTGCTTTGCCATATATACAAGTTATATTTGTAATCACAGCAATTATGCTGTTTCGTTAAGGTATAAGCTTCCAACGTTATTTTTGGTGATTGAACCGAAATGACGAATCTTTGTCATCACATTTAAATAGGTTCAATACCAATGCACCGACTACGAATGAAACGACACGAATTGACATACTGCTGATTTAAATCAATGTCATGGTACAGTATACGGTCACACTGCTGACCGTTAAGTCAGCTAGAAACAAGATAGGTATGACTAAGTTGGGGTTCGAATGTACTAAAGCAATGTCCAAATCATTTGCATTTGACGTTGTTCAATAAGTTTCTAAATTATGGGACAAGTGAAACAAAAAATACACAATGAGACGAATAACAGCGTCGAATGAAAGAAATAGCATAAGTTTTCATGTAATTGTATCTAATAATATATACATATATTGTATCACTATTCAACTCAATAATTCGTTATTTATGATATTTTCTTTTACCGCATGGTTACGATTCCACTTTTAAATGTTTTTATTATTTCAAACTAAGATTTGATTAATTGTATATCTAAACATATTTGCTCTTGATCATATAAATTGATGTCACGGATTAATTCGTTCTCGTTAACTGAACTATACTATACATCAAATGTACAATTATATTATGCTTTGATATATAATCTTAACCATTTAGAATGGTTGTAACACAATACCACTTCAGAGTTAAACTCCAAAATATTTTCTATACTTCATAAAGATTAAAACTTACTCATAATTATTTCATTTATAAACAATGGTCATTATCAATACAATTAACCAAATTGATATATTTGAAATACAACCATTTATCTGTAATTAGATTAATATTAATATCTATATGCATTTCATACAGATACTACAAAATATATTTCAAGAATTTGTAAAATTGTCTATTTGACAAGGTAACATCTATGCAATTAACAAAGAACATTTGAGAGTAACACAATGACAGTAACATTGAAATGGGAACGACACACATAGAACACAATACATAGAGATTTTAAAAGCTCTGCAATTATAGCACAGTTTGGTATGAACTATATATCTTGGTGATAAGAGTACACACTTAAATAATATGGCAGATAGAGCTGTCGCTTTAGCGACTATGACGGAAATGACGTACATAATGAGATCGACAGGAAAGACGCAAATGTATGACGTAGCACCACGTGATGCATTGTTTATCTCTAAAAGCACCAAAAGACAACAATATAATATAAACAGTAGCGTCTCAATAACCTTTAAGGTGATGCGTTCTCAACACGATGCCATCCTATGGATTTCGTGTTTATATATTACACCTTGCTCTGTAAAGTCAGCAAATGGTAATGTTTATATACTTGGTACTATCTGCCCTATTCAGTCGTCTCTTTCTCTACTTATTTGTAAAACAATCATTTCTGTATCTCAAAGCCGGTTTTATATGTTTAGTTGCACCAGCACTACAATCACGAGGAGAAAGATGGTTGAAAGACAAATAGTTTCCATCATCCCAATCAAACAAACATCCTTTACTATTTCGCAGATACATGACCATCCTGTCTCTTTCTTTCTAACGGGTTATCCTTCACTTACGCACATCCACATCTGTCTACTTTCATCCTGGGCAATCGCGTTAATGCTATGTTGGAGTTATGGTCGAAGAAAAGCATATTTAAGTCGGACATTTTTGTCGGAGTGCAGCATGGACCGATGTTGCTAAGAGCTGACGCTGGCTGACTCAAGGTTGGGGACGGTGCTTGTTGGATGACATGAGCATGTAGTGTATCGTCCAATTGTTCGCCCTTACATTCTCCTGCACAGTAGTAAGCAGCATATGTTAAGGGTGCTATAACAAAGTCCCATCCAAACGCGACAAAATCAACCTCTAGAGGGTATCTACAGCAAGCTGTTTCCTCTCTTTGGTCACAGTAGAGCTCGGAAGATCTCTTAGACCGTGTTGACTTCCTCAGAGAGGTGCGCAGATCCAGCATAGGTTCCTGAAATGAATGAACAGTTTACTTTGATGAATGAAAAGATAAATAAAAAGTCACGAAGGAAAGTGATATTGATAAAATCATAATTGGAAGAATGACCTCTATTTCAGCAAGTTTATTTACTTGATTTACTTTATTTAATTTTTTTCTGTCATCTTTTACCGTTTTTGTATTTTGTAATCGATATGAGTTTTAACGCTCCATTTTATCACAGGTGTTAGTTATCTCAAATATAACAGGTGTTAATATAAAGTAAATACAGTTAAATGGATCGATTGTTTAAATTGTAGATTTGATATGCATTTCAATTATGCTCTTTTCAAAAAGCAATGACGTGTGTTACAAGGTAAATGTTTATTGATGGGTTTTAATTGTTAGTATTTTAAAGTGCATTTATCACTAAGGGTCGATAGATGCAATCATTTGCCAAACACAATTCATGATTTGTTTAACAACTAACAATATTATTCAACGCCCATGACCTTTTTCAATACATTGCTGACGTGTTTGCTCTCTGAATTACGTTTGATGATTAGGAACATACTGAAGGGCGTATTCTAGTCCAGCTGTGTTTGTGTATTTAGGTTAAATATAAGGATACTGACGAGGCATTTTCACACCTGCCTTAATATACTTAATACAATTACAAAATGGGTCGAAGGTATTAAGCAACTAATATACCTACGACGCTCGATCAGATAGTTATTATCATGATACGCTCTCTTGAGCTTGAATGGGCCGTTGAGATTTATTTGGATGACACAAGGATCCATAATAAATATGGAAATAATATGCAAAGTGTTGAAAGCAATTTCTCAAGCGATAGCTTGACAAATCCTTGTTCTACAGCTAACAAATCATCTGATATCCAATGATAAGGATATAATAGAGTCCATTTACAAGCAAGTTTTCAGCCAGTTACGGTTGGCTATTTCATTATCTTTTGTACAATGTATATTGGAGTATATTATAACCATACAATCTGAGCCTATGACATATCTTTTAATTAAGAAAGCTAATTAAAAACACAAACACGGTGAAACTATGCCTTGATAAGTTAGTTCTATATTTCCACTAGATTGGAATTTCCATCACTCCTAAATTTGGAATTAGAAAGTATTGTCACGTACGGAGAAAATGCATTGTATATGCAAGTGATCATCACACACATGGATTAGATATATCTTTCATGAGTTAAAAATACCTACTTTATTTCAAAAATGCTGTTTAGCACATAAAGTTTATATAACCATAATATTACCTTTGTATCGTCATATTTTGCCCTAGGTCTATCATGGTGATTGAAATTATTGGAATCATTCGTTTTTATTGAGAATTATGGAGATTGAATGGTTTTATTACACTCATTGGATTGAGCGTCATTATCAGATTAACGCAATACTGCAACTGAATAGTTTAAGATAAAAGTAGCACACTTTGAGAATGAACATATCAAAACTCAATAAAAAGGCAATATAAGGATTGTAGATATTCAAAATTTGAAATTAAGGTTTATGATATCAATCGAAAAGAGACGAATGACATAAATGAAAAATATATTTAACATTTCAATAAACGACAATAGAATGACTTACGTATCCATCATTATCTCCAAACGTTGGTGGAAGTACTACCAGATTTCTACCCGTCTCATCCAAAGCTTCTACCACAAGTCCAAGATTCAGATGTGTTCTGTAGGTCCATTTCTGAACCTCATCTAGTATATCAAAATGGTGCCATCCTGAAGCTTTCATGTTGTGCCGTTTTCTTCTTCCAATTTCCCGTTTAGTGGGAACTTTACTGAATTTACCGGGTGGGTCAATTGTATATACATATATCTCGGTCATATTCCTGTCTAAGACATCATCTGGATTGATGTAAACCCATAACAGAGCTTTGTTGGTCTCTTTCTCTGGTGTGACTTGCATTTCAAAATATATCGTGTTTGGAAATTCCTGGTCCATATCGTCAGGTACTGGAACATCGAAAATGGTAATATTATACGAACATATTTAGGTAACAGCAGCTATAAGCAAACATTTCATCAGTCATGCAACCTGCATTGATTAAAATTGTAACTATTTGTGATATTTGTAAAAGTTTCGTGATGTCTAGTTATATGTATGTATATATTTCCATCGTGCCTATATACAAATTGCACTAAATCGGCTGTTTCACATTTTCTATGATTTGATACGAATAATACGTTCCTACATTAATTACCTGATATTGACTCTTATTTTGATATCGATAACATGCTACATAAAAGGTGCCTACACGGTTCAGATTTTCACGTTAAATCACATGATAAGGTTAACATTTTCTAATGATTACTAAATTCTCACAATCACAAATCCTAATATAAATCCATTTTTGACCATTATCAAAATTTTAGGAAGTGTGGTCATAAAGTATTCGTCGAATAATTTAGTGTTTCTGATTGTACGCTGAAATCAACATGCAAAAACATCAATGGAAAATTCTTTAAGTCGCCAGAATCTTAATTCAAACTTGCAGTAAAGGAATTATGGTGAACGTGAACGCGATGATGTATTAGACTTTATCAAATTATTACGTGTGACAAAACCCATTTTCATCAAAACTATCAACCGCTGATACTCACTGAACGAGACATTTTGGTTGACAGGCAGTTAATATCTTCCTATAACAACCCTTATGACATGCAGGTTTCAGCACACAGAAACTAGCAAGTAAATGTTATCGAATGCGTAATTTTGCCTTCGACACCAATGAGGAATATCTCATCCCTCTCTCGACCACCATGCGAATGAAAAAATCGATAGTTAATTACTATACAATTTAAAAATTATCAGATTTGGTTATATCTGCCGGTACTTTCTTAACGGCACGCAATGGTAATACTGACTTTCTTATTTTCTTATTTTGTTCATCTTTCTTGCAAAACTAGGTATGAATATATTAATATAAACTTTATTTATTTTACAACAATTGCGAAACAAGTTATGTCAACTTATAATAATCACTCTTGTTGGCCCGGATGTAAGCGCGCGAGGGGTCTTATTGTGGGAGGAAACCGGAGTACCCGGGGAAAACCCACGTGGTCGGGCAGGTGACCCCTTACCTTTTCACGTCCAGTTCCGGGAATCGAACCCCGGTCGGCTAGGTGAAAGGCGAGTGCGTTAACACTGCGCCACCCGACATTGACACTCATTACTTGTGCTCCAAGTGATGTGTGATGTTAAACATTTAACGCAATATGCACATAGTGTTATTTTCAAGATTTCAAAAACATACGTTGAATTGGCAAATTAGCTGTTATATATAAATATTTCCAAAAACGTAATGCAAGAGAAATCTAATGATTTAATCCATTGCCATTTTATATCTAGTTCTTGCGTAGCTGTGATGATTTCTGTCTTTGCTTTGTATAGCTCTGATTGTTTGACAAAACTGAGGTGCCTTATATGTTGCATACGAAATATGTTTCTAATCTCGACACACTTAATATAAATTAATCAGACTACTTGTATAATTCTGTCTAATAGTATTGTTTTTGATTTATACATTTACTCGAAAATTTACATTTTGCATTATGGACTCCCTTTAACACAAGAGTTAATGTGATCGTGTAAATTCAATCTATATCAGAAAAATAATATGACGTCATTTTGGCGTCATGTAGAGCTACGTTACTCCAGCGCTTTACACGTCGCTGAAGATAACATATATTATGCATTTCCAGAAGTCTCTCCCAGGAAGTAAACGTACAGAGGGAAAAAAAGACACGAAAATATTTCAAAATAGAGATGTGAAATGTACGTATCACTTGTAGAAGATGAATAGAATGACTTCATGCAAGATCAGTGCAGTAGGCCAGACTGCCTTTTAATCAAAGGGTTTGTAAGCCAAATAAAGTCGTATCCATTTCCAATGAACCCAATGCTATACATGCGCTCTTAGTATGTATTCTGTCTGCGTTCAGCCATCTTTACTCACAAAATGTTTAGCTTCTGCTTTCCAAGTTTATTTATCTCGAGAAAAAAAATATAAATTCCACCTCAATTGAAGCGTGTATAATACATTTTAATACATGTCATTAAGAAATTATCTTTGAACAACAATCACACTGCAGTTGTTCTCGATATTACTTTTAGAAATCTGTCACCCAGATGACATCCAAACGGAAAATAAATACAAGGCAGCGACCATGAAATAGTTACAACTGTAATTAGTTTATGTAATGCAATCAAGATAGCCCCATTGGCTACAGCACGGAATGATAAAACAAAATTCTGTGGCAAGGGTATGACTATACAATGCATATGCTATTTTTTCTGGACTCTTTAAGCCATTTAACCTCTGTGTTGTGTTATGGTCGATTTGTATTAATGTACATAAGCTATATGTTTAATGATATATGAACTAAAATATGGCCCACAAATAATGTTGACAAAGCAGTTGAAAGATTAAAAAAACTGCCGACTCATACAAAATATCGTGTATTTATGTCTGATTATGACTGTAGCAGTCAGTATTTACTGATATATGTTAACCGTATTGCACCATGACTAGAAGTCCAAGTATAAGGATTTGATGAGCAGACATAGTGCTGAAGGCCGACGTGTGCTACTGACCCTCGCTGTATGAATGCAATGTAACCTCGACCCATATCCCGCAATAGAATATATCGTCTGGATCTTGGCAAAACTAAAGTACAAAAACGTTCACTTGTCGGCAATTCGCAACTGGAAAATATATACGGTTCATAGTGAGGTAAAATGTTAGCGAGCGTGTTGGATACAGGATGATAAGTTTAACGAAACGTTTGTACAGCAAAGTTTGTTCGTACTAATTGCTATGGAATATTTATTGAATTGTGTTTGTCAACATCTTGTGTATATATTCTCACGTGGACTATTTAAGTGAGCTATCATTAACCCAGGTAAGGGAGAAGTAGTACGTTCCTTTGGAACTTCAGTAGTGAAATATAATCTTTTCTTCACAAAGATACCAGCTTTTCTGTTACATTGAGTATATTACAGAGACAGATGTAACTCGTTTGTTAGCAATTGTGATCAGGTAATGGTTTAATGTTTATGGCAACGAAACTGATTACAAATCCCAGGTTGAAAATTACATAGTGTGTGGTTGGTGTTGTACCGTATCATTGTAATTATTCGATCATGCAATAAAAATGAGCTAGTAAGGTGGCATTATCTATAATCATCAGAGTTCAGTCTCAAAATCCATACTAGAATGTTCTGTCATTAATCAGTGATAAGATATTAAAAAAAATCCCAAAATATGTTTGCTAATGATTTTGTAAACTATTTGGTTTTGCACTTTAAAAAATCGAAATTTTCACAGAACTTTTGGCAAGAAGTGATTTGAGAGAGGTTTGTGGTAATTGTAAATTTCGTTTAATTGTCATTTTGCTGTTCATTGACAATAATAATTGAATAAAGCATGCAAGATAAGCAAGGCAAATTTCTTGAATATCAATATCATTTAAACTTAATGTTTACCATAACTATTATGTGTGTCGTATTGTCTCCTTAGTTATATATGGATTTCAATGTCAAAACAAGCATTTAAGCTCGTAATACAATTTATCTTTGAAATGAAACAAGTTATAATAACACTGACAGTTATTCTGCAAATGTTCTATCACAAACTAAAAACACTTTACGTGTTGAACATTTGAAATTTAAGTCTTTGCTAATGAATACTTATTGTTTGTAATATACTAAGTCAAGTTTGAATAAAAGTTAGATACATACGTTCTTTTGCAAAGCTATATGTTCTCTCCGGTTGGCCATATTCCTCCTGTACGTCCTGGTACCGCAGTCTTTCCTCCTTTCGTCTACTTGGTGAATCAGATTGCATTTGCGCATTTTCATATTTTTCACGTAAACGTAAAAACGATGGTACCTTTGGTAATCGTTTCGCTGTCGTGTTTGGCATGCCAAGTACATCCAGTTTCAAGACATGTGAAATTCTGTTTTTAATTGCCTCCACTCGATGTCGTTTCTGTTCATCTCTAATTCTACAAATTTGACACTTTTTATGCTTTGGATATTTAACTTCTTCATAGTCATGAAAGGACGTTGCATTTGTAGTATCATTCAGCATATCATATTCGACATCAGTACTGCCATCACGTTCCAAAGTCAACTCCGGTAAAATGTCTGAATAGTAATCATCTGCATATAGATCTTCTGTTAATTTATCTTGTTTTGGAATGGAAGTGAGTTCCTTACTCTCCTGTTCTAAGGATTGGTAAGTATCGTTTGTTTGGTTGATCGCTACAGCATACACTGTAGAGAGCAACACAGAAGAGAACAGGAGAGAAGGGAATGAACGATGCATCCTTTCGCGTTGACAGCTATCAGCTGATTGTACAGGTATAGCGGTTACGTTAGAGATGGTTCGGTGCCGCGGCCCTGATCACGCTTTTATAGCGACCCAGTGGTCAAGCTATCGCATTGAATCATTACCGTCGTATCAATTACACTGTAGCACAGGTCCGGCAGAAAGATTGACAGACTTCTCTCAGGTTAAACAACACAGGGGTTAGCATTTAGGGGCTGTTAAATCAACCCACCCCCTACCAAACACTACACGTGCATTACACTGTAGTTCTAAGTCAGCTGTCAGCTGATCCTACACGTGCTTCTGAATTTTAGAAGGATAAAAGTTCAGTGCCAGTATTTCGATGTACGTTGCCAACAAGCACCCAATACGATTACGTTCTACATAAAGCTTACCTCGTTAAGTGCCAATCAATTAGCTGTAACATATAATAACTCATAGCTAACAGAAGCGTTACCACTGTGTAAGGAATGCTCCTTGTTGAAACGTAATCATATGGATATCTTTATTTTCATGGCGATTATAAATGGTCGATAAAATTCTGATACAAAATCTGAAAAGGATGAATTCGCAAGTTGTTCAGAAAAGAAGTATTTTACCGTAACATAGTAAGATACTGTTTAAAATGCAGTGTAGCATCGCAATACATATTAAAATGTTTTTATCAGTTAAATTAAGAAATCTTCTATACATTTCGATTATAATATTAAATTATGTTTCCCATAGCATATTATTTTAGTCGAAAACAACAGGAAGTAAGTATTTTATATACTTTTGTTTCCTTTAATATTTTCGTTTTATAGTGCGTATAGCGGCAATTTTAATACAATTACTTCTTAGTTAAAATGCAATTTTATTCCATGGGCGCGCCAACAATAAGTATGAGATTAATGTCTGATATTAATTCTGTATAAATATAATTTTGTCTTTTACCTATTCCCCGGCTTCTAATACAGCGTTATTTTACAGGTAAGTTGATTATGAAATACCTGTTTTTATGATTACATTTTTTTCATGAGGTGATGTGTTTTAAATGGGTGTTCTATAAATCGCTTTCCTCATGCGAGTTGTATGGTTCATTTCTCCCTGGCATTGGAACGGACTTGTTAAAACCGTAAATTTCCATTTTATGAAACAGTCCTTATTTTCAGGCAGAAACAAGTTCTCTATAATTTGCCTTTTTATTTCCCTGTCACTAAAAATATCGACAGAATATTTCAATAAAAATAACAGCCATTTAAGCGGTTGATTTTTTGGCCAACTACCTCATTATCTGTCACGCATCCCATTGTGAAGAAGAAACACCCGCGTTATTACCAAATCCAGATGGTTATTTTATTGTTTATAACCCAATGATTAATACATGCAATTGAAAATTTTGTATATTATGCATAGACGCACACACAATTATGATAGCATACGAAAAATATTCAGGAATGTATTGTTAGATTGTTTAAGTATTGAACACTTCTAGCATAAAAATCTTGATAATTAATTTCTCAATTTTTAAAATCGATTTCACTACATTTATTATCAATATTAAAAATTACGAGCGGTTTCTCTTGCAAATATAATATAAATCGAATTTTGTATCAATTCGAAAATGACGGAAATATGTCACGTTTTTCTGTTCATTAGCTTAAAATAGTCTCGCGGTGTCTGTTAAGGTTAGTAAATATTTTGTTAACTGGATCTCTGTAACCTAATTTAATGTAACATATTAATAGAAGTATATTTGCTTCCTTTTGTATACAGAATATGCACAAGTGAATATCATTTCTCAATACAGTTTATAGTTTAATTTGATGGATAAACGTTAACTAATGAATTAAACTGTAACATCAAATAATGATTTGAACTGTAGCGTTCTTGTAGGACGCGAATGCTAAGGACCTAAATTTTCCTTACAGGAGAGAGGCGACGAATTGATTCTTCAAATTGATTGAAATTAAGTTTCAAAAAGACATGGTTAGTGCTCTAGCCAAAAATGCAGATCATTTATATATTTTACTTTCAGAATTGAATAATTTCAAAACAACGTCATGTACATGTATATATTCAGACCTATTAAAACCCTTGGTAATTGAGTATTTAATTATAAATGATACATGTTGGGCTTTTATAATCAGTTAAATATTTAACGGTAAATGTATTCTTTGATAGCAAACGGTGATGCTTATCGATTGTTTGATGCAGTTGTAACATTGTTGTGTATGAACCTGTTCTGTACATCATTATCAGTAAGGGTCATTGCCAAGGACTTATATCCTGTTATTTTTGTTTTATTTGTTTCCTGCGCACTTTCTGTCCGTTGTTTGTCTTTTAACTGTTTCAGTATACGTATATACGTAGCTATATTAGTATCTTCCATTCCTTCCACTTTAAGCCAAGAATTTATTTTGCTCTAGATTATTCAATGTGAACTCTTCTCCACCTCTAATTGTTTGCCCATCATAACGTCGTCCCCATTCTGTTTCAATGATGAACGTTGATGATAATTGAAGACTGCTGGAACTGCCAAATATCAGAACATGTAGATGCCATTCCTATCTGTATCTTTCTTTGCCAATTCACAAAAAATGGCATCTGTCAAGGTTTGTGTATTTCCGGCCAACACTTAGAACAATTGAGATAAAGATATTGAGAAACAAGCGTCATAGTGTGAGCAGAATGGTCAAGGTCTTTTCATCATGATCATACTCTGTTAGGCAAATAGTGAGGGATATATCTTCGTGCTAACTGAAATAACTATGTAACTACAGGCAAATCCCTTTTGGCATCATTTTCCGTGTAAAATATATTTGTTATCTTAAGTGACAGTCCAACCTTCATCCTTGGTGATAAAATTGCAACATGCAATATGTTGGTGATATAAATCAATGTCACGTTTGCCTAGGGGAATTTGAAGGCAGAAAGCAATCATGACGATCATTCTATGTTCTCTTGTACGGATATTCAATGCTAGTGGTATTGAAAGTGAAAAATGGTGTAAAGATGACGTTATGGTGAAAATAAGCTTCAGTCGTGTGACATTAATAAAGCTATACTTTAATAAGATATCGAATGTCACGTAATGGTGGATGTGCAATGTTTCTAAAATTAATCTTCAATATCCAGGTGCGACATCAGTTTTATGAATTTTATCAGCCTTCTTCAGATTGTGTTTAATCTTATTTCATAAAATATGTGTTTTTTATTACTACCAGCACCAAACTTCTCTGTTGTGGTTTGATTCCGTTAGACACAAAGGATTTAAAACAGTAGTGCATAAGTAACTTTTGTTTGATAAAAGTGCGGTTTCGTTCTGAAAATGTTGAATGCAATTTGTTGATGTTAATTATTGAACAGTATATGAAATGACAACTTTTAAAAAATCATCTAACATTTAAAAAAAAAGAAAAGATATTTAAAAAGTATTTTTCAATATATATAACATGTCTCCTTTGATTTCATGAGACGTCTAGATTTGATTTCAGATATATAGATGATATATTGCTAGCATGCGTTGCTTTAAATTTTAGATGGCATTGCGTGAACATTCAACATCAATTATCAAACTCATTCTAGAATATCAAAGTAAATGTAATTAGGAGAGATATCTAGGCTTTGTGGTAAAAAAGTATCGTTCGTGCTATCGCTCGAGTAAATTAATCTCCATTTCTGATTTCACGTTGCGTGCTTTCCTTTCCTTTTCCTTTACATTGCGTAATGAACAGGCTTTTTACACTTAAAATACTTCCGCACGCAGACGTGACTTATAAATAGTACCATAGCTCTACAAAAATCAATATAAAGTCGTAAATGTATTGATTATTTTTAATACCAAAAAGATACCGAGTGATCGCGCGTTATTTTCATTTAAGTCGTGATAGTTAACCTAAAACAATATGAATATGATCAAATGCTATTTTACGTATTGTATTCTAAATTAATGAACGTATAGAAGAATTTTCCATAACGTAGATGTTAAAGGCAGATATGATTTAGTCATTTATAAAAAGGAATTGTTAGTAAGTAAGCCAATGATCTGTTTACGCCATTGTATTTGTTGAGGGTTGGTTGACATCATAGGTCAGGTGTGATTGATACGTTGATGCGTATTGTACATCATGTTGGGGGACACCTTATAAGTGTCGAATTACATAATAATAACAATGCTAGCAAACAAAAATACATAGCGTGTAATACGTCTTTGATCGCAATCACAAACTAACATTACATCAAACCTAATGTTGTCGTTACATATCCTATAGCTCCAGGCTAAATTCACCTGACATATTTGTCAACGGTATTTCATCGTTACCGTTATTGTGAAGCGTTTCATCATGACAATGACTGCAATAGATCTGCTAATTTCATATAGAAATTATGATTTATGACGTATAAAGCATATACTTTAACTATCATTTACAGTGAAGGAACGGAAACAAACATCTCATTAACAATATAATAACATTATTATAAGTCTACCTTTGTTGGGAATTACGTCAATGAATGTGTTAACAAAACTATTAAGAGGATTAATGTCATATTTACAAGGTCGATCGTCAAAGTAATCGTTATCTACTTGAAGAAAATCCGTGAAAATACTTAATTTAATTGCATTGACTGGTGCCAATAATTGTTTTTTCATTATGATAAGTTTTGCTCACTGTTCAAATCGATGAAACGAAGAGAATAAACGAGCAAAAGAAATGTTCAAACAGAGGCCCTTGTAACTGCATAATGAAAAATGAGCGCAAATGTTATTGTATGCTTCGTTCTTTGAGTTCTATCCATCGAAGTTGATTAATAAAAGTTGACATTACTTGTTCCACGATTGTTGTAACTTAAATAAATTTTATATTTAAAGGAATAAATAGCTTTACTGACCGTGAAATAGACAATTGAACTTAATTGAGCAAACATGGATTTCCAATATGCTAGAAATGTTATATACCATTTATTATTGTATTTTCCATTTTGAACAGCTATAGGACTACGATACAGATTATTTATTTCGCCGTTTTTCATTAACACTGCTGTATGGTTTTTCTCCATATATCATCAAATTCCTGTATAATGCCGCTGGGAAATGGTGGCATAACAACGAAGCATTCCTTTAACTATTATCATTTATCAAATCTAGAGTCACCCCTAGGGCAGTATATGCACACTTCAAACGTAACATAAAAAGCCTTGTTAGTATATAACCAGTTTGATGATAAAAAATCTAGGACTTCTCCTT